TGTTTGTTAGGGCTAATTACCGAAATGGCTGGATTGATTTTAACGAGTCTTTCACTTTCAAATAGGTGATGTTGTAAGGAGTAACTTAGGCTACTTGTTTTCAGAAAAAGTTACAAATTGAAACCCGTGAAATTTAATAGTAATAAATTCCACGCGGATAAAGTCGCGGGGAATAGCTAGTTTTGAGATATATTTAGATATGCCTATAGGCCGCAAAGCTTGACCAACAGGTGAATTATGTGCCGGTTTGTCACCTCTGCTATTATAAAACAAAGATAAATATATAATAACTTGATTTCCAAGTCAAAGTTCACACAGTCACAATAAATATCAGTTTTATTTACCACTCATTTTTAATTCCTTATTTTTTTTATACGAAGCCATTCGCAATAATGAGTAATCGTTGTAGACCATAAAGTGCTTCAAAACTTCACACTATGTTCTTAAACCATATAAACTTTACTAAAATGCATGACGAAACATAAAAGGAAAAAATAAATTGTAGAGACAACACTTTATTCGGACAACTTTTCTTCATATGGACATCAAATACAGCGGCGTTGCTACTGGACGCCGCGATTTTTCCGGATCGATACGACTTAGGGACCTTCAAAAAAAGAGCTTACTCCTTTCTTAAAGGAACGCAACGCACCCGCAAATCTCCTGGTGTTGCAGTTGTTTCAGTGGACGGCGTTAGTCACTTAACATCAGGTCAGCCGTATGAACGTTTGCCCCCTCTCCTATAAAAAAATAATAATTTAATATTAAATAAATTTGTAGAAATGTCACCTTTACGTTTTAATTTAATGTACCAGATGATAAGAAAACCCGTCCCTCCATATCGTCCCGTGGATGTGGATATCATCGATCATGGCAGAGCCATGCTGCAGCTACATTATTCGACTGGGGAAAGACCATGCTCTCACAGAATACCAGCGTAAAATAGCAACTCAATGCTACTGTGTTTCGTATGGGGAGTGTAGAGAACTGATGACCCTTTTTACTAGATACAAAGCATTCCATCTTAGTGCTCAAGGTTGACAACACATCTGCATATTGATTATTTACCGAGGATACATGTAGACGTCTATGGGCCACAGCATCCACTTGCCATCAGGACGGCGGTGTGCTCACTTGCCACTCTTATTCTATAAAAAAATGTCGTAAAAACCGCCGTCTATAGGAAATCATGAGATCGTCACATCTCATGATTTCCTATAGACGGCGGTTTGACTGTCTCGTATATATACCGGATTTCAAATACCATACCGGCACCGGTATTTTGATCGCCAATCAATGTTACAATCGGTACGCATGCTTGCCATGTCAACAAATCCTAATTCTGAGAAGTTTATGGACCAGAAAACCCTACGTCGCTCTACTCCACATTTTTATTTTATTTATTTTGGAAGCTGTACAAAATTAATAATTGTTAAAAAATTTGAACACTTAAAATCCATTAAAATACCGACGCATATAAACTGACGAAATATAATAAAATATATCTAAACACGTGGTATTATCATTAGCTTAGGAACTATTTAAAAAAGCCTAAAAGAATTCGCGTTGCTTTAGAATAAGTTAATTTTGTTATCTTTGTAACCATCATAAAACTAATTAGGTATAAGCTTATATAATTAATATAATTAGGTATATTTACGTGGTAGAGCCATGCTGCAGCTATATTAATAGGATAGTTGTAGCACGAATACCAGCGTAGAATAGCAGCTTAATGCTGCTGTTTCGTATGGTGAGTGTAGACAACCGCAGACCTACTTTACTGGAAAAGAGGCATTCTATCTTAGTCCTCACGGCTGACAACACATCTGCATTTTGATTCGCAAACGAAGATAGATGTAGATGTCTATGGGCGACAGTAACCACTTACCATCAGGTGGAGTGTGTGCTCGTATGTCACCCTACCTACCGTATTTAGAATTAATAAAAATATATATAAAAATGCTCTTATCATGATGCTATTTTAACTGTAATTAGTATGTGTAAGAGGCACTTTTGTAAGTTGTAATATACTCACCAAGCGAGATGAACATGGCGGAACTCTAAGAAATATTATTTTTAATAGTTTCAGCCGCTACCGTTACCGTTACAGCCTATTAAAATCCACAGCTAAACATATGCTTCCCCCATAAATAGCCTCATAGAGAGATATTTGCCATAGTTGCCACGCTTGGATAGCGGGTTGGCAACCGCAGTTTTTCTTTTATTTTAGCCGTTATAAGTAAAACGCTGCTACCCATTTCCCGATTTGTCTCCTTCTGTCGCCTCTTGTGAAGCCCACGGGATGATATGGATTAGTGGATATTCTTACACCGCCACTTCACGGTACAGTTTAAGCACTAATTTTAAATTATAATGAACTTGTTACTTAACTACATTTTAATTTTAGGCGAGCGCTCATCCTTTGGGCTATTCCATATAAGTACCGACGTTTCCAACATGGTAATGTGGAATGTAAGAACTTTCTGTTATAAAATACACTACGGAATCTATATTTTTTTTAATTTAAAACTGAAGTGGCAATTGAACTGATAGTCCACCTGATGGTAACTGTAGTCCATGGACACCTGCAGCCAATTCAATCAAAGAAGGCTACAGTTTACAGGTTGTCACCTCTAAGGACTAAGATAGAGTCAGTCTGTAACTATACTGGCTCTTCTCACCGCTTAGAACGAAACACAGCAATGCAGAAATTTTTGGCGGCAGAAATAGGGAAGAGGTTGGTATCTACCGAGATGGATGCCTAGGCAGTAGGCAGAAAGGAAGGAGTCTTACCACTCAGTGAAATCAATATACTTACACTATTTATTTGTAGTATCTACATTTTAATATATTACTAGCTGTAGCTGGTACCCTGCGCTTTGCTGCCGCAAAAATGGGAATATCGTTTCAAATTTGGAAGACTTGTTTAAATATGAATAGTAATACATTTATTGAAGCTGAGTGACATATTAATTTCAATTAAATTTATCACTCACCTCCTGGAAGTTAATTGTACTATGCCTTATAACTTTCGCGGAAATGCAAGCAATAAGTTGACAAAGTTTTACCGCAATCTGATGAACGGTATGGCAGCGTATAACATACGAACAAACAAAAATTATTTTTTATATATTAGATTTATCTAGTTTATCCGATATATAAACCAGTTTGTTAACTCATTATTATGTAACGGCACATGAGTAAAGAAACCGACCTTTACTCATGTGGTGACGGTGTGAACAAGCCTTTTTGCTATGACGTACGAGGTCGCTGCGATATTAATTTGTTAGCAGATTTTTATATATTAGATACAATACATACCACTATATGTTTGGTTTTCATTCGCAAAGGTGTATCTGTGCGTTATGTTATATATAAATTAAATAGTGCAAAATACAGTAATGTGTGACAGACAGCTTATAAAACAGAGTAACTTGAAGAAACCGGACCGAACAGGAAGTGTTAGAAGGAAGAACAGACATGTTCTTATCAAACTTCCGGAATCGGATCGTGAGAGGTAGGAATTATCTTTACTTTCTTTAATTTTATCAATGCGATAGTTATATATCATGACCGTCTTTATTTTTTTTTTAATAAAATTTTACTTAAATATGATTTTATTTGTATCTTTGTAAAAACTAGTCCGGTGAAGAAAGATATTCAAGGTTACAATAATTCGATAGAGCTAAAAATTGTTACGAATGTAGGGAACACCATTATAAATTAAATGTGAAAAGTCCCCTTCGTTCCCACATCTGGAAAAAAGTCAAAGTCAAGGTCAAAGTTCGCAAAAATGTTTGTGTTTTTTGTATTCTTCAGTTAAACGGTAAGTTTTACTATAAAATAGGTCTCACAAAAAAATTGTGCTCAGTGATGCATATAAAGGCAATTGACATGCATATTAACATTAAGTAAATCTTTTTCAACTTTTTGAATCGCTATATCGATTTCATTATTCTTAGGGGAAAAAACATGCGTGATTGTCGTGGAACACTCGGTCGGAACGAAGTTCCTTTCCAAGGCCGTCTACACTACGGCAGTAGGGGCGTCAGTTGTTACGGGAAAATCTTACACTTTTTCTCGCCTAGCCCCCATCCGCCAAATTCTACACCGTAGTAAGGGCCGAATTAACCTAAAGTACTATTATTTATTCTGCGCCTAAAGGCAAAGTAGACAACATCCTTTAGGCTCCGGGCTCCAGAGCGCCTGGTACCCTGATAGTTTTGAAATGTGTCTTACGACGTGGGAAAATGCGACTAAAACTGCACGCAATTTTAATGACGTAGGTATACGATATTGCAGGAAAACAAACCCCAGAGAAACTAATGTATATCATAATAATTTTGCAAAAGGAATAACATGCGTGGTATATAAAATTTATTTGAAACAAGTCAAACCATTGCAGTTGAAAGTGACCACTTCAACAAAATGACAAGTTCATAAGTAATAGAAAAATATGAAAGTTTACTGAAAAGCCTAATAAGATATAATAGGAATGGTTGCTAACCAGCTATAGGTAAATATCTATAGATTCTAAATGGCCTTTAGAAATGAAAACTGATTAATGAAACCTAAAGATGATTTTCAGCTGACTTCAAAAAACGGAGGAGGAGGTTTCAGAACTTTTTTCTAGGTTTTTTTTTTATAGGATAGGGTGACAAACGAGCACACAGTCCACCTGATGGTAAGTGGTTACTGTGACCCATAGATGTGGGGAGTTTCTGTATGACCGTTGTATGTAGCTCCTCACATTGAAATAAGAAGATTTCTTAGACTTGAAACATTTAATCTTCTAACAAAATATACTTATTACGAAAAACTAGTCTTACATTTTTCTTGTTATTTTTTCGTAACCATGACAACAACTTACAAGATATAAAAAAACTAAAAGGGCCGTAGACAATATTTATTTACCCTCAACACACTCCAGACCCGAAAGAAAATGATAACCAATTAACGCAACTCAACATACTAAGGAAAACCATAAAACCAAATGTAATTCATAAGTACCGAGCAGGCAATTTCACATTTCGACCGCACCGCGTTGTTTTCGTCACCTTCGCGCCACCTGTAACCGAGGAGGGTAAGTCGGGACTATCTGAACTTACTGATAACTTCTCATCCTCTATCGTTACTTCAGCTCGTTGCAAGAGGTCAGAATCATTTGAAATCTCAAGCGGATACAATCTCTGACATGGTCTTAAAGTTTCACCTTTTTGAGTCTTGACTCTAGCCAAACGAGTAACACCATCAGCCCCGGTAACTACTTCCATGATTAACCCCAAGGGCCAAAATAGCCTTTTCGCGTCTGTCTCTACTAGAACTATATCTCCTTTCTTCATTTCTATTGTCTTCTCCTTCCATCTAGCTGTAAGTAAAGCCAAATACTCCTTACGAAATCGAACTCTGAAATCTTCCCTCAACTTTTGTAAATATTTGTATCTTACATTTAAATTCATATTATCTACATAATCTAAATCAGAAGTATCATTAGAAGGTAAGCCATGTAGAAATAACATAGGTGTAAGTGGCCGCAAATCGTCGGTACAAGTCGAGACATATGTTAGTGGCCGACTATTAATGACAGCTTCACAATCGCACAAGACTGTGTCCAACTCTACCCAAGTCAGTCGCTGACGCCCCAATATTCTTCGCAACATCTCCTTTAATACTCTAATGAGCCTCTCCCACCAACCTCCCCACCAAGGAGTTCTAGGTGGAATAAAACGCCACTTTATAGCATGGACTGCCGTCACACTTTCAACCTCCTGCCAATTAATATCCTTCAGTAAATTGGCAGTCCCTCGAAAATTTGTTCCGTTGTCCGTGAAAATGACGTCTATACGACCTCTTCGAGCAATAAATCTACGAAGACTCATAATAAAACTATTTGTGGACAATGAGTCTACCATCTCAAAATGCACAGCCCTAAATGTCGCGCAAGTAAATAAAACCACCCAACATTTCTCTTGATTACGTAAATACAACGGCCCGGCCAGATCTATACCTGTCATTTGAAACGCTGCCGTGCCTTGAATCCGTTCAAGAGGGAGTGGTGTCTCCGGTGTATCATAATGTAAGCCCTTTTGCCTACGACAAATTATGCATTTCTTAACTATATCCTTACATAGCCATCTCACACTTGTAATCCAGAATCTGTTTCTCAGCTCTGACATTAAAGTATGTGATCCAATGTGCTTTAAGTATATATGTTTCTCTTCAACGAGTCGCCTCACAATGACATTTTTCCCTGGTAATAATATGGGACTCGAAAAATCTTAATCATAATTTCCTAAACCTAATCTAGTCTTTACTCTCATAATACTATTACTATCTAAATGTATGCACAGTTTCTTATTCAATTTAGTTCTATTTACATAATGTTCACCCTGAATAAGTTTTATAAGTATATTCTCAGCTTCTTCGAATTCATCATTGCTTATATAAGCTATACTAAACATTCGTCGCCTTCTCCATCGGAATATCCAAGCTACTACACGTACAATTCTTGAATACTTAGAAAAGTATAAAAGCTTCTCGCTAAAATGTTCAGTATCTACATTAGTATTTACAAGTACCTCCTTCTTTGCTTCTATGGAAACAGCGTTCTCATCTACTGCGATGTGATTAGACTGAGGCCACAGTTCTTGGTCAGATAATAGCCAAGCAGGGCCATCCCACCAGTGACTGTCCATTAATGTCTTCATATTACAGCCACGTGACAGTAGGTCTGCCTGATTGCAGTGGCCCGGTACGTGCCGCCAATGTTCCTTCTTAGTGTGAGCACAAATTTCACTTACCCTATTGCTCACAAACGGCTTCCAAGAACACTGTCTTTGGATCCAGGCTAACACAACCGCGGAGTCTGTCCAACAATATAACGGGCAGGTGTCGTCGGTAAACAACGTTCTACTTATCTCATTTGCAAGCCGCGATGCAATAAGCGCTCCCATTAGCTCCAATCTAGGTAAAGTTATTGATCGTTTAATTGGCGCTACTCTACTTTTTGCCATAACCAGCCTAATCGTAACTTTTTTTGCATTCGGTCCGAAGAAAGACACAACCTGCATAAGCATTAATAGATGCGTCACAAAACAAATGTAAACTTTTGTTACAGTTCGTCAACCTCTCCTCTGATAAGCGTCTCGGCAACTTGCAATCATTTATCAGATGAACATGATTTAGCCAACTCTTAAATTCCTTCGATAACTCGTTGCTGATAGCTTGATCCCAACCTGTACTATCTATCCAAGCCTTTTGTACTATTCGTTTAGGCACTAGGGTAACAGGTGCAAGAAATCCAATAGGGTCAAATATCTGCTGAGTTAATGACAAAAGATCTCTCTTCGTGACCCGATCTGGTATAGTGCTACTAAGACGGAAACTACACTGTAATTCGTCCGTAAGAGTATTCCATAGCACTCCTAATACAGATTGAGTCTGGACAGTGTTATCTACTTTAATAGGAGCGGTAACCCAACATCGTAAATCAAAACCCCCCTTTAGCATAACTTCCTTAGCTTCGTCTATAAAAGTAAATAAAGCCTCTTTTGTATCAAAACTAGCTACACAATTATCAACATAAAAGGAGTGTTTCAAAATTTCAACTGTCTGACCGTACATTCCTTCAAAATTGCCTACGTGATAATTAATCGTAGCCGCCAAGAGAAACGGACTACAAGTCACCCCAAATACTACTCTCTTATGTCTGAAAGTGACTATCTTCTCTTTGGTCAACGGATTCTCCCACCACAGAAACTTTAAATACTCTCTATCTTTCTCTGAAACTAAAATTTGCAGAAAGGCTTGCTTTATATCCGACGTGACGCCGTACGTACCTTTCCTAAAGTTCATCAATAATTTAGGGATTAGTTCTATAAGATCGGTACCCGATTCGATTCAGTTATTCAAAGACAATCCTTGCGCATCTTTACACGATGCGTCGAATACTGGACGTATCTTCGTTGTAGTCCTAGACATCTTAATGACTGCGTAATGAGGAATAAAGTATTCTTCTGCTATATTGTTTTCAGTATGTTCTATAATATCGTCGTCTAACCAATTCTGAAAAACATCGTTATAACTTAGCAAATGACCAGTCCTCTCTAACTTCCTAGTCGTCGTTAAAAGTCTTTTATAAGCTACATTGTAATTACTGCCTATTTCGGGGTAACCATCTTTCCACAAAAACCCTACTTGGTAACAATTGTCTTTAAAACTAATATTCTGCTCAAATTGACTCATTACCTCTTCTTTTTTCCTATCTTTGCACATCTGTTCATGTGGCTCTGAAATCCCTAATATCTCTAAATCCCACAAATCTGAAAGTTTACTCTGAGCGTGACAATTGAAAGTCATTGAGCATTGTGCAGCACTATAAAAGTTAGGGCCCTGTAATGTCCATCCTAGCCTCGTCTTAATAGCTACTAAAGGCCCATCTAATTGTACAATAGTGCCCGTACAAATTACTCCTAAATAATCAGCTCCTATTAACATATTTACATCGCTAAGGTCGCAGTCACTGTCATCAATACTTATATTCAGTGACTTTAACTTTGACCTTAGCTTGGGATCGTCTGCTTTGGGAAGATAGCCACAAATGTCGTCGAGTTCAAGAGCAATGAATTTTGTAGAGAAAGAAGAATCTAGACTACTTACATTCACTTCGACAAGACTGTGGTTTTCTGCTGGCTTAGTAACACCACTAAATAGTGAATAACCTAAATTCTCTATACCTACTACCTTAAGGCCTAACTCTTTTACTACGTTTTTCCTAATATACGACCTTTGCGATCCAGTATCACACAGAGCACGTATTTTCTTCTTTTTACCCTCATGTGAAACTTCTAAAATCAAAGTCTGTAATAAAATATTTCCGCCTTTCCTAGAGAAAAGTGCTGTCGCTTCTTTGGGTTCCTTTTGTTTATCCCTATGAAGGTCCGGACAAAATATCACTACATGACGTTTACCGCAGGCCATACATTTTAAAAACGTCTTGCAGTGCTTAGCTACGTGACCTTTACGTAAACAAATTAAACAACCCCTCTTATCTTTGACAGCGGCTCTCTTTTCATCTAAAGACATTTTGAGCCCTTTATTACATTGAAGAATCGAATGAGACGTATTATCACAAAAATAGCAAAAGTCATTACCTGTTTTACTGGAACTTGTCTCCTCTTTCGAAACGATGCAAGCTGCTGTCGGCGGCATATCAACACTGCTGGAAGAACTATAAGTACTCGTATTAAAGTTAGCGCGCGTCAATTTAATGTGTTCCTCAGCCTCGGCTTCTCGTTTTAAGAACTCTAAAAGTTGCGTTAATTGACCAACATCGTTTACAATTCTAGTTCGATTCCAAACAATTAAAATATTTTCAGGTAAACCTGATTCGACTAATGGATACAACATCGCTCCGTACTTTTCCGTTGTTACTTTGAGTGACTCTAAAGCGTGCAAATGGGTCATCAACTGGTCGTAAAGCGATCTTATATCCATATTTTGTCCCTTAGCCTGACATAATACGAGACCTAGCAGCTCTCTCACATACGTCTCGATGAGGATACCTTCTCGAGCAAATCGTCCCTGTAGCTGCTCCAGCGCTCTTGGGTAATTCTTGCCAGACGGAGGGTAGCTAGTTACGAGCTCTCTGCTTTTGGACCCCTCCTTCATAGCCTGTATGAGATACTGGAACTTATCTTCTGGTTCAAGAGTCTCGTCCTCGTGTATCTTTTTGAACTGTCCCCAGAAAGATAACCACGTCTTCGGATTGTCATCGAATTTTATGAGCTCGATATTCGGTAGCTTTATGTTTCTCTTCTGATGAGATCCGTCAGTAGGCGCTGAAGATGTATTTGCTCTATCACATTCCTTTCGTAATTTTTCAATCTTAACTTTTACTGCATAATACTTCCTTAAATACGATTCGCATTCGTCACATTCTTCATCAAATTGCTCATCCGTGCAAGAATCGATCGTCATATTTTTTATTTGACTGTCAAAAGATTTTAACTCTTCCAATTTCTCTACAAGATACTGAAATTCGACAGTCATCTGCTCAATATCATTCGACTCCTCTATCTCTCGCACTGACCTGATGAATACTCGACGTGTGTATGCCCTTTTACGCCTCATAGCGTCGAGTTCGGTTTGTCCAGGTCTATCCGCTTTCACGGTCGCCATTATGTGGGGAGTTTCTGTATGACCGTTATATGTAGCTCCTCACATTGAAATAAGAAGATTTCTTAGACTTGAAACATTTAATCTTCTAACAAAATATACTTATTACGAAAAACTAGTCTTACATTTTTCTTGTTATTTTTTCGTAACCATGACAACAACTTACAAGATATAAAAAAACTAAAAGGGCCGTAGACAATATTTATTTACCCTCAACACACTCCAGACCCGAAAGAAAATGATAACCAATTAACGCAACTCAACATACTAAGGAAAACCATAAAACCAAATGTAATTCATAAGTACCGAGCAGGCAATTTCACATTTCGACCGCACCGCGTTGTTTTCGTCACCTTCGCGCCACCTGTAACCGAGGAGGGTAAGTCGGGACTATCTGAACTTACTGATAACTTCTCATCCTCTATCGTTACTTCAGCTCGTTGCAAGAGGTCAGAATCATTTGAAATCTCAAGCGGATACAATCTCTGACATGGTCTTAAAGTTTCACCTTTTTGAGTCTTGACTCTAGCCAAACGAGTAACACCATCAGCCCCGGTAACTACTTCCATGATTAACCCCAAGGGCCAAAATAGCCTTTTCGCGTCTGTCTCTACTAGAACTATATCTCCTTTCTTCATTTCTATTGTCTTCTCCTTCCATCTAGCTGTAAGTAAAGCCAAATACTCCTTACGAAATCGAACTCTGAAATCTTCTCTCAACTTTTGTAAATATTTGTATCTTACATTTAAATTCATATTATCTACATAATCTAAATCAGAAGTATCATTAGAAGGTAAGCCATGTAGAAATAACATAGGTGTAAGTGGCCGCAAATCGTCGGTACAAGTCGAGACATATGTTAGTGGCCGACTATTAATGACAGCTTCACAATCGCACAAGACTGTGTCCAACTCTACCCAAGTCAGTCGCTGACGCCCCAATATTCTTCGCAACATCTCCTTTAATACTCTAATGAGCCTCTCCCACCAACCTCCCCACCAAGGAGTTCTAGGTGGAATAAAACGCCACTTTATAGCATGGACTGCCGTCACACTTTCAACCTCCTGCCAATTAATATCCTTCAGTAAATTGGCAGTCCCTCGAAAATTTGTTCCGTTGTCCGTGAAAATGACGTCTATACGACCTCTTCGAGCAATAAATCTACGAAGACTCATAATAAAACTATTTGTGGACAATGAGTCTACCATCTCAAAATGCACAGCCCTAAATGTCGCGCAAGTAAATAAAACCACCCAACATTTCTCTTGATTACGTAAATACAACGGCCCGGCCAGATCTATACCTGTCATTTGAAACGCTGCCGTGCCTTGAATCCGTTCAAGAGGGAGTGGTGTCTCCGGTGTATCATAATGTAAGCCCTTTTGCCTACGACAAATTATGCATTTCTTAACTATATCCTTACATAGCCATCTCACACTTGTAATCCAGAATCTGTTTCTCAGCTCTGACATTAAAGTATGTGATCCAATGTGCTTTAAGTATATATGTTTCTCTTCAACGAGTCGCCTCA